TCCCACCAGGACATCACACAAGCGATAAACACCCGGTGACACGAAGTGCCACCATGCGGATGAGGATCATCCGTAGAGAGGTTCCAGAAACCCCTTTCAGCCGTTGTGGCCATATTTATGGCCAGGCTATATATTCAGGGCCCCTGGCAAAAAGCCAGGGTGGGGCTTCAAATAACGAAAAATTGCATCCCACATGCGGACCACTGTATTTATCATTGGCATTCTAAGACAAAAGGCTACAGGCACATTATGACATTAAAATTGTTTTTTTTTTAACACATCTGTGTCAGTAATTTTTACACGAAACAAAGCTGTAGATAGAAATGACATTCAGCGTCCTATGGCACACACTATAATAATATTATTGTTATAGCATAAACCGATATAGCTAAGGATAGCTTTGGTGAAGTATTCATTTCCTCCTTTAGTATAAATTTTTATTTTGCTTTAGATTTGATTTTGCTCTCTTTTGTTTTGCACTGTTCTCTAGCATGCGACTGAGTTCTGTGAGCCAGCAGCATCGTCCCTCCCAGTCCTACCTTAGACAGGAGAAATCCTCCTCCTCCCATACTCCTGTTAAGAAGAGTCAATCCAGCCCTAGTTCGTCTGCTTCCCCATCTCCCAAACCTGTAGATCTCTGCCTGTCTGTGCCAGCCTCAGCCCCTCCACTAGCTCCCCAACAAACTAGCTCAGATCCATCCCTCTTCAATTTCCCTTGCAGCAACCACTCATCTGATGAGACTGTGTCTGCATCCTTATCACCAGCCCTATCGCAGCAGCAGCAGCATGGACAGGGTTCATCAAACGCAGTTCCCCCTGCCGTGACCACTACTACAGCATCATCAACATTGGCACAGCAGTTAAATCCACAGCGCTGCATGTCCCCGGTGGGGGTCACTGCTACAGAATCAGAGATTGGTTCTCCCCCTAAAGGTTTGTGCTGCCTATTTGGTAGAGATGATTCATTACCTAGAATTCTTGTCACTGCACTCAGGATAAACCCATGTGTACTCTGTCTCTCTCAGCAGTTGGAATACAGGAATGGTGATTGCTCCTGCTATTTTCATGCAACAAGCCCTGTGCAAAACTTTTCTTTTATAGCAACCTTGAACTTTTGCCAGATTTTCCTGTCTCATACATGAGAGATTTTCCTGCTTCAGACTAGCATGGACTATGAAGACAAGAAATGCCTGCATCCTAAAAGGTCAAGGAAGACTGGCTAGTAAACAGCGTTTTGTCTCAGAAACAAATATTTTGGCCATTATCAAGTGCCACATCGGATTGTAAAGAATAGTAGCAAAAGGCATGGTACCAGGTAAGAGGGGCAGGGGTCCACCAGCATGATGAAGGGCACAGGATATAAGTGACATCTTAGGTGGAAAAGTGCACTAGGCAGGAGATCTGGCGATTGACTGGGGTTCTTTCAGGCAGACTGTGATGAGAGCGATGCTCTGCAAAAAACCTATACGTGATGATGATACTTTACTATGCCTAGCTAAAATTGTGCGGCTCCACAGTGGAGGTTGTCTGTAATGTATCCACTGCTAACTATGTAAATATTACGTTGTGACATAATTTCTTCCACAGTGCAACTCTCATGCCATTGTAGGAAGGCCATGAGAATGGTCTTTTTCCCACACCACCCTACTCAGCTGTTAAAACCTGGTAAACATTGAGGATTGCATTGTAAAATTCCCAGTGTGGGTTTTGGGGCCCATGTGAGGTGGAGAGGGGGGGGGGGGGGGTTATAGACCTACTGCCTCCCTATGAAGCCTCTTCTTCTTCCTCCTCCTCCTCTTCATTGTCTTGAATATTTTCTTCTTCTTCTTCTTCTTCTTCTTCTTCTTCTTCTTCTTCTTCTTCTTTTTTTCTTCTTCTTCTTTTTCTTCTTCTTCTTTTTCTTCTTCTTCTTTTTTTCTTCTTCTTCTTCTTCTTCTTCTTCTTCTTCTTCTTCTTCTTCTTCTTTCTTCTTCTTCTTCTTTTTCTTCTTCTTCTTTTTCTTCTTCTTCTTCTTCTTCTTCTTCTTCTTCTTCTTCTTCTTCTTCTTCTTCTTCTTCTTCTTCTTCTTTTTCTTCTTTTTCTTTTTTCTTTTTGTTGTTGTTCTTCTTCTTTGCTCTTCCTCCTCCTCTTTTCATTGTCTTGAATATTTTCTTCTTCTTCTTCTTCTTCTTCTTCTTCTTCTTCTTCTTCTTCTTCTTCTTCTTCTTCTTCTTCTTCTTCTTCTTCTTCTTCTTCTTCTTCTTCTTCTTCTTCTTCTTCTTCTTCTTCTTCTTTTTCTTTTTTCTTTTTGTTGTTGTTCTTCTTCTTTGCTCTTCCTCCTCCTCTTTTCATTGTCTTGAATATTTTCTTCTTCTTCTTCTTCTTCTTCTTCTTCTTCTTCTTCTTCTTCTTCTTCTTCTTCTTCTTCTTCTTCTTCTTCTTCTTCTTCTTCTTTTTTTTTTTTTTTCTTTTTGTTGTTGTTCTTCTTCTTTGCTCTTCCTCCTCCTCTTTTCATTGTCTTGAATATTTTCTTCTTCTTCTTCTTCTTCTTCTTCTTCTTCTTCTTCTTCTTCTTCTTTCTTCTTCTTCTTCTTCTTCTTCTTCTTCTTCTTCTTCTTCTTCTTCTTCTTCTTCTTCTTCTTTTTCTTTTTCTTTTTTGTTGTTGTTCTTCTTCTTTGCTCTTCCTCCTCCTCTTTTCATTGTCTTGAATATTTTCTTCTTCTTCTTCTTTCTTCTTCTTTCTTCTTCTTCTTCTTCTTCTTCTTCTTCTTCTTCTTCTTCTTCTTCTTCTTCTTCTTCTTCTTCTTCTTCTTCTTCTTCTTCTTTTTCTTTTTTCTTTTTGTTGTTGTTCTTCTTCTTTGCTCTTCCTCCTCCTCTTTTCATTGTCTTGAATATTTTCTTCTTCTTCTTCTTCTTCTTCTTCTTCTTCTTCTTCTTCTTCTTCTTCTTCTTCTTCTTCTTCTTCTTCTTCTTCTTTTTCTTCTTCTTCTTCTTCTTTTGCTCTTCCTCCTCTCCCTCATCTTCCTCCAGTCTTCTTCCTCTTTGATTCGCTTGAAACAGATTTTCTATATTTGCAGTGGTGCCTTTTATATAAATCTCTCTCTTTTTGTTTTGTTTCCCCCACAGTTATGTATGTGCATGACAACCTGATTGCTGTGGTGCACCTTCTGACTGGTTGCCTCTGACTTCAGCACTTTACCTTGTTATCTGTCTGTCTTTATGCTTGTCTCCAGTTGTGTGTGTATTTAAATATGCATGCCTGGATTTATAAAACAGACTATATTCTTCAGCAGTTTTGAGTGCCCAAACAAATTCAGTATCCAATGGTATGCCAGCAAACCCAGCAACAACTCGACAGAATTACACCAAAACATCCGTCCTGCAACAAAGTATAGACTTGCTGGTATGTTGCCTTGCCGACTCCATGCTTAGTTTTTATTTAAGCAAGTTTCTCATGTGGGTTATGGGGTCACATTTTGGGGGAAAATGAACAGACCCACTACCCTCTAACAAGCATGTCATTAGAGGCCACTAATTTGGGGTGTTCCCTTTGAAGTCAGAGTGCACTACCTGAGGGGGTGAGGAACCAAAAGTCTGCATACAAATAAGCCAGATCTGTAAAACTGAAGTCCACACAAAACTCAAGTTCTGGAGCAAGACTAAAGTCCAGAAGTGGACGAACAACCGAAACTTTCTGCTGGAGTTTACGGCTGGTGAATGCTAAGAAGAAAATGTTCTGCTATAAATATCATGATTGTGAAAAAAAAAGTTATTTTAAAACGTTGTTGGCACCATGGAGGAGCAGCTGGCTGAACAGTTAGAACGCTGGGCTCTCAAGCGGGAAACCTGGGTTCCAGTACTCGGTAAGGATGGTAAATTTTTTTCTGTCTGGGGCAAAATAAAATCCTCACCTGCACAGTGGTGGCGACTGCACTAGCCATGCGGCCGTACATCTTTGGTCACAAAGACCACCCCCCCCCCCCCCTCCCTCTTCGCCTACACCATAAAAGTGTATATTAAAGGCAGTAATTGGCAGTAGCATTGGGACCCAAATGCCCCATAGTGTGAAAAAAAAAAGATTCTGTACCGGTACCAAAAGCTAAAAAAGTAAATCTGGTACATGAAAGACTTTATTTCTCATGTAGAAAATGCATATTTATAATGCAGAAGCGCAAAAGCCTGTTGTTGACATTTGCTTGAGTTATGTAGGTAAGGACATCATTGTAATGAAGACAGTACTTAATTGTAGACAGTGCATAATTGTATTCCAGTTCGTACGAAAATGTAATGTAGACTAAAGTATACTATGTATAACTGTAATCTTCTTCTTCTTCTTCTTCGCGTTCACCAGCTGTATTCTCTGGCGGAAAGTTCTGGTTGCTCGTCCACTACTGAGCTGCAGTCCTGTTCCAGAACCTGAGTGTTGCCTGTGCATCAGTTTTACAGATCTCATTCTTTTGAATACAGACTGTTGGTTCCTTGCCTCTCCGGCAGATGCACTCTGACTTTAAAGGAAGCGCCCCAATTAGTCGACTCTTACGACATGCTTTTGGGGAGGCAGTGGGTCTATTCTTGTTTTCCCGACAATGGGGCCCCGGAACCCACACGGGGGATAACTGTAATGTAGAGGCGCATAATTCTTACGTAGACTGTTGGCATCTGTAATGTTGACTTGCAAAAATGTAATCTAGACTACATATTGGAAATGTAGACAGTGTGTGCATAGTTGTAATTTAGGTGGTATCCTTCTTCTTCTTCTGCGTTCCATATCAGTCATGCTAAACATTGAGTCCCGTCTGGGTCACAAATAGGATTGTGCGTTTAAGGTCGCCACCGGTCCCCCATAGCTTCTCTTGCAATGTGGCTCCTTTGGGCCAGATCCACAGTCTTTGCTGAGAGAGGTTAGGGTTAGATGGTATATACTTGTAATGTAGACATGCCAAATTATAATGTAGATAGTATATAACTGTAATGAACACAGTGCTGTATTATAATTTAGACAGCACCTAATTGTAAAGTAGACTGTATATTATCAATGTAAACAATGCGTATCTGTTTTCCAGGAGTACCCATTTTTCACATTGCGCAGTTTCCCCGTGGGTTTCATTTGCAGCTTTGGAGGTGTGGTCTCTGCACGCTCTGTGAAGCTACTGGATAAAATCCACAATCCTGGTAAATCAAACTACAGGGTGTCTCATATTTTTGTTTTTCAAAGCCTAATTCTTTAATTATTATAATTACTAAGAACATCACACTTTATGTAGTTGAAATAAAAATTACAAATAAGCATTAACCTATCTAGATTTTTGTTGAGCCACTGTGATGTAGCAACTAGACACTCACCTGTGGATCTGAAGGTCATGAGTTGGAGCCAGAATTTTTAAATTAAAAAAAAAATGACCTTAGCTCCCAGGTCGACGCGTTAAATGTATATCAGCTAAAGTTCTGGGAGGTGAAGGCGGCTGCTGTGATGCTAATCATATCTCCCATAAAGTGCCGATTGGTCTATACAAAAAACAGATCTAGCCCTGTGTGCCTAATGTGCCTGAAGGCACGAAAATAGGTTTTATTTATTTCTATGCAGATTCTTTTTAACGTATGAAGAAAAAAATTGTAAAAATTTGACAAATTACAGATGCAGTTTTGTTAAAAACTGTCGGGAACATGTTAAAAGCTATTACTATGCATCTTGTGACTTATGAGGCTTATAGATTGCCAGGCTTGGATCACACCAGTATTGTTAATGCTTTTAGAGAGAGAGAGCGAGAGAGAGAGAGAGAGAGAGCAGATGATCAGTGGAATTTGGGACAGTGTATCTATATTGCTGCTTAGAATCCAAGAATTGGAAGTGAAATATCGGGACAGCCAGGCACAAGGGGCACACAAAACATACAAGAAGTCTTGTCAAACAGCATAGAACTGGCACTGATGTATATGTTGAAGAGGAAATCTGAGCAGCTATGTATGTGTGTCCAAAATGCCATGAAAAGTATAAATGTTAGTTGCACACTCTTTACTGAATGCTGACACACATGCTGTGATTGAAACTGACTCACAGAACATGTTGAGAAAGGTGAAAACAGGCATGCTTTGTGCTGAGTGGCAAGCATCACTTCAGAGGTCCCAGGTAGTTAGCATCCTTTGGATATTATTTCCAGGTCATACCTGTGTGTTGGGAAATGAGCAGGCAGATAGACTGGCTGGCTCTGCACCACTTGGTGGAGAATTGATGTATGATAAGTTTGATATTGTGGGGGCCCTTTGGGAATGGATGAACAGTGCGGAGGTGCAGATAGATCATTACGGTCTGAGGAGAATGGCGCTCAACACTCAGGGGAAGCACTAGACGGATATACAATCAGACGGGTACTGGTACCATTGGAATTGGAACTCTTTGCTTGCTACTGAAGATGAGGACTGAGCACTTATGGGAGTGTCCTGAGTGCTGTGATGTTGATTCTTTATTCAACATTGAACATTCTACTGAATGCTGCAGAACCCCAGCTTTTGTTATCTGGTTGGTTTTACTAGGCAGTCTTGCATTCAGTTTTCCACTGAGCCTGAACAGTCGGCTGTCGATACCACTGTCGAAATCTGCCCAAAGTGGTCTGCTGGCAATCCCCCGCAGCCAGAAGCAAACCGGTTACCTCAGAATTGCAAAGCATGCTCATAACAACTTAGCAAATGATGCAGATGCTATGAAAATAACTCAACTCGTACGTCATGTGGGACTTTTTTGTTGCTGACCTCTATTGCAGAAGAGCCAGAGACCCGAGATGCTTGGTGGAGCGAGGTCAGGACTGAGGTCAAGTCCCATGCAGCTAAACTGGGCTGTCATGCTGTTCTTGGCTACATGGAACAGACCACCATCTGGTACAGTATTGCTCCGTCTCTTCCTAACATTCTAGCTTAAACTCTGGAGGAACGTTCTGGTTGTTTGTCCACTTCTATACTTTGGTTCCAGAACTTGAGTTTTGTGTGTGTATCCATTTTACGGATCTGGCTTATTTGTATGCAGATTTGTGATACCTGACCTGAGGCAGATGTACCCTCACTTTGAAGAAACATCCATCATTTGTTTGTTGTTAGAGGGCTTCAGAGCTGATTCTGGGTTTACATTTGGTTCTGCTGGATGTGTGGGGGGGGGGGGGGATATGAGGGCACAGATCCGCAGTGTTTATGTGCTTTCTTTTTAGCCGACCACAAATGATGTCACGGGACAGTCCAATATTTTAGAGTTGATTCAAGAACCGATATAACATCACTAGGGGCATTCCCATAAGCACTCCATCTTCATCCTCAGCAGCCAGTGAAGAGTTCCGATACTAATGGTGCCAGCAGCATTCTGATTAAATGTCCGTCTTCCCTTTCCTCTGAGCCTAGAGCATCTGCCAGAACCTCTCGTCACTCCCCGCTGCATCAATTTCACCAGACTGGTAATCCATCTGCTCCTTGGAACTGTACGCGCTCTCCCACAAGGAACTAACCTATGTCTGCCTTATCATGCATCAGTATTTCACCAGGTTGTGTAGAGCCAGCCAGTCTGTCTGCCTTTTCATTTCCCAACACATCTACCTACCCCGGGGAAAAAATCCAGACAATACTCCTCACCCGTATCTTCCGCAACGAAGCATTTGATTCTGCATGAAGCGTGCCTGTCCTGATTTTCCTTAGCATGCTTTCTGAGTCAGTTACAATCACGATGTGTGTGTGTGTCGTGTTATCTAACCAGCGGAAAGCTGCAGTGACTGCCTCCTTTTCCATTCTTAAGCTAGATGTTGTGGTATCATATGCTAGGCTCTCCTGCACCAAGCGTCGACCATTAACTTTTGCTAAGAAACCCCAAGCCCTTCTCTTGACACTGAACTGTCTGTGTCCAATATATTAGAAAGTGGTTAGAGCGGGTTTTACATGTATTCTATGCTTTAGCGCGTTTCTTTCAAGGCCAAGGTTTTCACACGATTACCTAACCCTAACTCTAACTTTACTAAAACTATATGCTTAATCTACCACCCCTGAAATATTTGATTATCCCATGACCTGTGGATTTCCCCTGTTTGTGGTCGGTTAATAAGAAAGTACTCTTGTTTATTTGTAATTAATTATTTTTTTGTGTTGGGCGTAATTGCTTTCTGCCTGTTCACAGCAGAGCTTCATGCTTTTGTTGACCTGGCTAGCCTTCTTGATAAATCCACTGTTTACAGTTATTGTGTTGCAGCATTGTAACATGGCGTTAAGAGGATTTTCAGCCTGTGAGCTCCTTTCTTCCTTCCTTTCCACTTTTGGTTTGTTAATTCAGGTGTTAAAGAAGATACATGGTTCGCATTCTTACTTTTATTGCCACCAGAACTGTAGACGCTGTTGTAAAGTTTCTCTGATTTTTTGTTCTTCACTGTGTATATATCTCCTCTCTTTTATTTTGTGTGTGTGTAAAGGATGTTGTTTTCTTTAATAGTTATACTGTTCCAATATGCTAAGAGAAGAAATTCAATCTAGAAAACAATCTAGAAATAAAGTATACTGTGCCCTTCAACATCTGCTAAAGTCAGAGTGTCTGGCTTGCAACACCAAGATCAAAATAAATAAAACGTTGATAAGACCAGTCGTTTTATGTGGCTCTGATACTTGGAGCACAGCTGAAAGAGATGAAACCTTATTACAGGTTTTCGGAAACAGTCTTACGACGAATCTTTGGACCCATCAAAGATGCGGACAGGGGTGAATTGAGAGTGAGAAGCAACAATAAAATTCATAATCTGTTTAAATTAACATTGATCACTGGCATCATGAGAGATAATATCCAGACACACCTGCAAACACTTGGTGTCACTAACTGGAAAGAGAAGGCCAACCAGGAAGATAAATGGAGGCGGGTAATATCTGCAGCAATGAACCTCAAGGACTCAGAATGCTGAATAAGAAGAAGAAAACGTTGGTATCTGTGGCTAAGGCGTTGCAAGCACGCTTTAAAATTATGTGGTGCTGGGTTCACTTTCAGCTGCGGGTGATTTGACAACAGACTTCATTAATGTTGGTGTCAGCGGTGGTATCAAGAGCCATCTTTTCAGAAAGCAATGGCACAAACTGCTACCACCACCATTGTCTCTACATGGCCCAATAATTGCACTCTGTGCTTCTTCTTTTATGACCTCATTCTTGATTCTATCTTTTTTTTTTTTTTTTTTTTTTTCAGTTCTTTCAGTACCACATATTTGCTTTAATCCTTCAGAATAAGCTAACAGTTTCATTACATCTGTTGCAGAAAGCGACAACAACAACAAAAAACTTTATGTTTGATTTAACAATTAAAAAGTCTCTTTAAAAAATCAGAAAATACACATACATACATCTATATGTTTGTATATGAATGTATATATGTGTGTGTATACATACACACACACATATACATATGCACATGTGTATATACATACACACACACATATACATATGCACATGTGTATATACATTAATATATATATATAGATATCTATGTGGGTATGTGTGTCTGTGCGTGTGTGTTACAATAATCTGCTTCTGCTTACAGTGATGAAGTGATTGTGCTGTCTGCTGTAGGCACAGCAGCGAAGATCAACTTGAACTTTGACTGCACCCAACTGCCAGCTGTCGCTTCTGCCGCAGGTTTGCAGGCTTCTGCTACACCCACTTCAGCTACCGCTGTGTCTGATAAGGACGCACATGGGGGAACAGAGAAGGAGAGAGACAAAGATAAATATCTGTTCGTAGATACAGGCTTGGCCAATCAAGGACAGTTGAAAAGTACTATGTCTGTAGAAGGGTACGTATCATAGCTACATATTCTTTGTTAGTATCTGTCTCAGTTGAGTATTAATTAATGTTTTCCTTGTTCACATCTTCTTCTTCTTTTTCTCGCTCTCCGGCTGTGAATTCCAGCGGAAGGTCCCAGTAGTTTGTCTATTTGGACTTTTGGCTTTTACCTGGACCTGAGTTTTGCGTGTACATCCGTTTTACCGGCTGTTTTCTTTGCCGTTCCCTGCCTCACTGGCAGATGTACTCCGACTTCGAGGGGAGACATCAATCATATCTCTATGATGACGGTGGCCATAAATTTTCACATCTTAATCTTCTTCTTCTTGTTGTATCCTACTGCTTATGACCTCAAGTGTTGCAGAGAGGAGTTAGATGTAGTTTCCTGTCTTTTGCTAGTTGCCCAGCTTGTATTGATGTTATATTGTGTTTTCGTAGTGTTTCTTTTACCCCCTTCACCCATCTCTTTCTTGGGCGACCTCTAGACATGTAGCCTACTGTTCTCATGTTCCATAGTGAGGCACACATGCCATTTGGAGTTGACAGGTTTGATTTCCAGTACGGTAATTATAGCTTTCAATTTTTTATGTTTTTAATTGTGTCCTTCTGTCTTTCTACTTCTTTCTATGAGTGTCGATCAATACATTGTATGTTTATTTTATATATATATATATATATAATTTTCTTAAGTAGTATGCTTTAGCTACTGGCTGATTTTATTCCATTCTGACAAGATGACCAAACCATTTGATTCTTTGATGCTCTGTCAAATCATCTGCTGGTATTGTGCTGCCTAGCATTTGACTTTTCTTGTTTTTCCCAGTGTTTCTTATATTACTGCTCCAGTTTGATTTTGATTTTCTCCTCTTCTTATCTTTGGCTGGCTGCTGAAGATGACAGAGCATGCATGGAAATGCCCTAAGTGCTGTGATGTCAGTTCTTGACTCAACTCAACTCTTATCTTTAGCATTTACATTTGAACAATTAAATCCCCTGGTGGCTTGATGGATCTGCCTGGGAATCATTGTTTAACTGCACAAATCTTTGAAGCTAATTATAAGGCAGAAAAATCATCTGGAGAACTTCCCCTCCAGAAGACTATCGCTAAGACTTGATCAGCTTCCTCACATGAAAGCAATTGCCAACTGGAACCATGAAGGTTCCCATCCATATGTACAAGAAATTTGAGTTTGGGGACTTTGCCCATGGGGACAGGCACCACTGATTACTGAACAGGTGCTAGAGACATGCGGTGGAAAGATCCCACGTATGGATCAGTGGACGTGTCCCTGTAAGGTGGCACCAGAAAATGCTGAGCCTGTGCTCCAAGACTGTCAACTGTATGTTGCTAACAGAGATGCAATCTGGCCTGTTCCAACCTCAGTGAAGACAAAGCTGTATTATACACAGGGATTTTTAAAAAAAAGGATAAATTCTGGAGATGTGAACCAGCATCACTGCACACGGTTATAAACCATAAGTGCTCTGCTACCAGTACTGCCAGCTGATAAAAAATTGTCCGCCTGTGTCGCTGTCCGCATGTAACTCTGCAGCTACATTGGTGTTCCTCCATTTACCCCAGAGTTTCAACTCTGGTACCCATTTCCTAGAGGCTGGGTGAACCCCGGGAACCGCCCGGTTTTGAACACCGGCCATTGGCTGCAGCGAGTCACAGCTGGATCTGACAGCGAGTCTCCTATCGACCGCGTTATACACAGGGAGATTTGGGCTGTATGATAGCTTTCGTAAAGGCTACCAGCCTCCTGATGTATGTTTTCTGACAGAAGGTGTGGAGCAGAAAAAGAAGAAGAATGGAGGTCATGCTAGAAGAATGGAGGTCATGCTAGAAGAATGGAGGTCATGCTAGAAGAATGGAGGTCATGCTAGAAGAATGGAGGTCATGCTAGAAGAATGGAGGTCATGCTAGAAGAATGGAGGTCATGCTAGAAGAATGGAGGTCATGCTAGAAGAATGGAGGTCATGCTAAGCACCATAGCTTTCATAGAGCCATGCTTGCTGCCTTGTCATCTGAAAACCTCTGGGACGGAGAACAAGAAGATAAAGTAGAGGACTTCATTTGTTATTGCTTTGTTCACAGCTGTGTGTGTGTATGTGTATGAAAGATTGTATTCTGTGGTGTTTTGGTCCACAGAAAAGATGACAGCCAATCTAGATGCTCACTCTGTCATATTCCCTACAATCCTTCCAGCATGCCATTTGAGATTCAGTTGTCCAAATGTGCCATTTGCAAGTAAGTCATTGTGAGCAGTTATAGTTTGTTGTACTGTGTGTCGTGGGTTCTCCTTCTTCTTCACGTTCACCGGCTGTAAATTCCAGCGGAAAGATATGGCAACCAGATTTGGAGTTGATTTACCTCTGTTCATGTGAAGTCGGGTGACACCATAACAGATAGAACAGAGGACTGGACTGTGAACCTTATGTGTTGTAAAACAACAGGATAATGGTGATGATGATTATTATGATGATGATGGTGTGGTGGTGAGGATGATAAAATAATAATACTGTTTAACTATATGATTCCGATAAAATAATGACATATATTGTGTTGTGCTTGCAGAAAAAAGAATGTTCCAGAAGTATTATTTGCAACAGTGGATCCCCCTGAAAACATGCTGGTATGCAGCAAGGGCTGCTTGATACAGGCTAGGTGAGTTTGGTCATAGTTTGATAGAGTAAATCTCTATTCTTGCTATACAAGTACCATGTACCGTTCATTATGTGAGGCTGTCTCAAACAGGCTTGGTGAGTTTGGTCATAGTTTGATAGAGTAAATCTCTATTCTTGCTACACAAGTACCTTGTACCATTTATTTTGTGAGGCTGTCTTAAACAGGCTAGGTGAGTTTGGTCATAGTTTGATAGAATAAATCTCTATTCTTGCTACACAAGTACCTTGTACCATTTATTTTGTGAGGCTGTCTTAAACAGGCTAGGTGAGTTTGGTCATAGTTTGATAGAATAAATCTCTATTCTTGCTACACAAGTACCTTGTACCATTTATTTTGTGAGGCTGTCTTAAACAGGCTAGGTGAGTTTGGTCAGTTTGATAGAGTAAATCTCTATTCTTGCTACACAAGTACCTTGTACCATTTATTTTGTGAGGCTGTCTTAAACAGGATAGGTGAGTTTGGTCATAGTTTGATAGAATAAATCTCTATTCTTGCTACACAAGTACCTTGTACCATTTATTTTGTGAGGCTGTCTTAAACAGGCTAAGTGAGTTTGGTCATAGTTTGATAGAATAAATCTCTATTCTTGCTACACAAGTACCTTGTACCATTTATTTTGTGAGGCTGTCTTAAACAGGATAGGTGAGTTTGGTCATAGTTTGATAGAGTAAATCTCTATTCTTGCTACACAAGTACCTTGTACAATTTATTTTGTGAGGCTGTCTTAAACAGGCTAGGTGAGTTTGGTCATAGTTTGATAGAATAAATCTCTATTCTTGCTACACAAGTACCTTGTACCATTTATTTTGTGAGGCTGTCTTAAACAGGCTAGGTGAGTTTGGTCATAGTTTGATAGAGTAAATCTCTATTCTTGCTACACAAGTACCTTGTACCGTTCATTTTGTGAGGCTGTCTCAAACAGGCTTGGTGATAGTTTGATAGAGTAAATCTCTATTCTGGCTAACACAAGTACCTTGTACCGTTCATTTTGTGAGGCTGTCTCAAACAGGATAGGAGTTTGGTCATAGTCTTTACACTAAACCTGTATTCTTGGCAGGTACCTTGTATGAGAGGACTTTGAATGAAAACCGTTAAAGTGTGAAAGAAATTACAATAGCTGTGTCATCTGTCTTGTAACATGGTGCAGATGGACACGATGAGGTCATGTCAGTTTAAGGATGGCCACCCCACTTCTGACGTGTTTCAAAGAGGAGCAGCAGTCTGATATCTGTTTTTAAAAATCAGTGTATAGTTGAAACGTATAGAAATTTATCAGTGAATGAAGTTCACATACAATGATGCTTGCCTGTCACCAGCTTTGACCTCTGTGAGGAAGTCCTGATTGGTCAGCTTGATTGTTTACAGTTCTGGCTTATTGCATGCAGACTGGTGGTCCCTTGTCTCTCAAGCAGATGTGCTCTGACTTCAAAGGAAACGTTGTTTCTTTCTACCAATTGAGAAGCAGTTTCTAGGATGACCATTTAGAACCGAGGGAATGAAAAAACTGAATTTTTAAGAGTCACAAACTGGGCACGCAGTCCCATCTTACAGTTCTATACACTCATCTTTCACACATCAGTTGTATTTGCATCTTCAAAGCCTGTTATGTTCATCTAGCAAAATACATAATATGTGTGCAGGGTGAAAAAAAAAAGTACAAATGGCAAAAATATACATCAAATTATGTAATACATGCTTGTGCACACACATACCCCCTCCCCATCATTCTTACACACACAAACTTAGGGAGCCACAATTCATACACATATGCATACCTAAATGCACACTTATTTATATAAACAAACTCATACATACATAAACAGGCATTTATACATATTGTTCCGAGATACATAACACACATACATACACTCATACATACATATACACATAAATACTCAAACATACACACATGGTAAATACACACACACTCTCCACTCACTCTCTCATTCTCTCACTCACTCTCTCTCTCACTCTGTCACTCACTTCCTCTGTCTCTGTCTCTCTCTTTCTCTTTCTCTCACTCTCTCATTAATTCTCACTAACTCAATAGCACTCTCTCACTTTCTCACTTCCCACGTCTCTCTTTTACTCACTCACTCACTCACTCACTCACTCACTCACTCACTCACTCACTCACTCACTCACTCACTCACTCACTCACTCACTCACTCACTCACTCACTCACTCACTCACTCACTCACTCACTGTCTCACACTCTCTCACACTCTCATTTACTCACTCTACTCACTCACTCTCTCATTTGCTCACTCACTTTCTCACACTCACTCTTTCTCTTTCTCTCATTCACTCTCTCTTCCCCTCTCTCATTCACTCTCCCTTCCCTCTCCCTCCCTTCCCCTTCCCCCTCTCCCTCCCTTCCCCCTCTCTCTCTCATGTAATTAGAGGTGTAGATAGGTCTTGACCAGTAGGTAGGTTATAGACCTGGTGAACTTTCACATGTTTATGAACTCATCACACATTGCTTGATGATACCTGAAGCTTTCAGCCAGTTTTCATAAACACTGAACTCTTTACCCATGTTACACTTTGTGCCATGGGAAAACCTTCTTTGTAAGGGTAAGTTAACTAGTCTTGTATTTCACAGAATCTGCAGAGCCAAGAACAAGAACAAGAGTTCGGAGCAGTCAGCTAGGGAGATCAGTGATGTAAGCAGATGTTTATTCTAGAAACTGTGTCTCATGTAATTGTAATTGTAATCGACTCACAGAGAATCGTGAGAAAGGTGGAAACAGGCAAGCTCCAAGCGGAATGGCAAGCATCGCTTCAGAAGTCTCAGGTAGTTAGCATCTTTTGAATAATTTCTGCGAATGTTGCAGAGGCACAATAGATAATCACAGTTTGAGGATGTTGGTGCTGTGAATTTGAACTCTGTGCTCGCTGCTAAAGATGGGGATAGATCGCTTATTGGAATGTCCCAAGTGCTCTGATGTCGATACTTAATTCAGCATTGAGTCTCATGTCAGATGTTTGGTCCAAACTCTTATCCTCATCAAATAATTCAGTCTTGGCTGGTTGGGAGCTGCCATACGGTAGTTGCTAGAAGCTCAACTACCAGCCTGAAAGTCTAGGGTTCACATCTATTTTGTGGCAGATTTTTTCTTTTTTCCCCCAGGTCACCCAAGCCTAAAATGGGTGCAGTTTATGTCTGGGGAAGTAAAGGTGGCAAGAATCAATTTAGTGCTGATAGTTCCGTAACAATGTAGATCTAGCACTATATGTTCAGTACCCGAAAGGCATAGGGTCCTTAACTTGAGCTGGTCATGAAACTTCTTGATCCTTCCATTCCATTACCTCTTTTAACTATAAACTTCCCCGTGTGGGTTCCGGGGCCCTAATATAGGGAAAACAAGAATAGGCCCACTGCCTACCCAAAAGCATGTAGTAAAAGTCGACTAATTGGGAGGTTCCTTCGAAGTTGTAGTGTATCTGCCTGAGAGGCAAGGAACTAACAGTCACACGAACGAGTCAGATCTGTCAAACGGATGTACACACAACATCCAGGTTTTGAAAAGCAGAGGCACTCTGACTTCGAAGGAAGCATAGAAGGTAACAGTTAAGAAAAGTAAATGTCAGTTATTTTATTCTCCCTAATACATGCTTGCATTGTCTTTTTGTTGTTGCCAGAGTCTACCATTTATAGAGTACGAAATTCACAACCAGCTCATCAACAAACTAAAGGTAAGAGGGAGGAAATTTTTTTGTCCCAGTATTTATATTATCTGTATGTTTATATGCATATGAGATTATGTTATGGCATACAATCCTGTCTCTTAATGTACATATTATAACAGCCATCCCCGTGTGGGTTCCGGGGACCTATTATAGGGAAAACAAGAATAGACCCACTGCCTACCTAAAATCATGTTGTAAGAGTCGACTAATTGGGAGTTTCCTTCGAAGTCGGAGTGCATCTGTCTGCGAGGTAAGGAACCAGCAGTCTGCATACACATGAGTCGGATCTGTAAAACGGATGCACACGCAACACTCAGGTTCTGGAACAGGACTGCAGTCCAAAAGTGGATGAGCAACCAGGACTTTCCGCCAGAGTATACAGCTGAAAGAAGAAAAAGATAACAGCCAAGGTTTGTCTGCGGGATGAGAAAAGGGATAATTATAACATAGTTACAAACTGACAGGGGTGCACACACATCTTAAGTATTTGATGAAATGTGTTGCCATGTTTTTTTTTTAATGTTCTCTTCCCAACATTTTGGCCTCTGGGTAAACTTAGTTGATCAGCCTTGATCTCCACCCATGGATGGAGATCTGTTGCCTAGTCTGGCTCCTGATTGTGTAATTTGTTGTGGGTCGGTTTATGCAAGGAAGGGAAGTACATCTTTTAACTTTGGACCTGAAATCTTTAACATCATCAAGTGCTTTAAGTTAGTTACATATCCTTTACAGGGCATTGCAGAACCAACCCCAGTATTTTTTGGCTGTTGTGGTTTTTCTAGGCAGATTTATATCTAGTAGTTTGCCATTGCTTTCTAAACGTTCGGCTTCTTGATACCACTGTCAAAAACCAACACAAGGTGCAAGGCCCGCAGCTGGGATCGAACCTGACACCTCGGCATTATGAAGTACATTCGCAACACCTAAGCCACTGTGCCTTACCGGCTAATGTTGACAATCATGTTTCTGCATGTCTTACAATCTCTTTTGTTGTTGATATTATTAGTATTTCATAACTACATCAAAGATAGTTCTTTGTTGTGACCCTTTATCCTTGACTCTTCCCCCTTCAACATATGCAGCCTAGTTTGATATTATAAAAATTTTCTAAACACACTGGCAATTCAAAAATAGAGAGCTGTATAGTGTAGCAGTTAGACGCTCACCTAGGGATCTAAAGGTCGTAGGTTCAGGTCCTGACACAGCCAGACTACGTTTTTTCTTTAAAAAAATAACCTTGGCTCCCAGGTCGATCCGGCCTTAACTCTTTCAGGCTCATGAATTTTGACACTTTGCCCCCATTAAGCCTACAGAACCACCTAAATCAAATTAGTAACAAAGGGGAGGAATATAATCCTCCAATGAACTTAAAATTGTGACAACAGAGATGAAATGCTTTAGAAGATCTGCAGGAGTTTCAAGGAAAGACAGAATACGAAATCATGAAATCAGACGAATGCTAGGAATAAAGCCAGTCTTACAGGTCATCAAAGAACAACAAATGAAGTGGTCTGGACACCTAACAAGAATGCCCTGCTACTATCCGCCACAGCGAGCCACACTAAAACGTTACAACGGGTATAGAGCGAGTGGAAGACCTTGGAAAATATGGAGTGATGGCATTAAGAACAGCCTTACAGAAATGAACATCAGTCTTAATAGTGCTCTTGACAGAGCCCATCAACGAACATTACATCTCCCCCCGACACTTCGATGAGGTACAAGGTGGAAGAGAAGAAGAAGAAGAAGCCCCCATTAATTTCCCTTTACAAAAATGGCAGAAGGGGTGGTGTACAAAAAAAGGCAATAAGAGAATGTAATATACTTCTAATCACTACAAAAGTTTTTTTTTAAAGAGAAATAAATGCAAATTTTGAATATGATGAAATCATCATCATCATCATCTGGTGCCTTGCCGACTGGCGTGTGCGATCATGCCTCTCCATAATCCACGATCTCCTGCAGCATGTATCAGTTTGTGTGCCGACACACCTCCATGCCATGCAACAAGACTGTCAAGAATCTTCTCTCGTTGTCTTCCTCTATTCCTCCTTCCACAGATCTTTCCAATGGTGAAATGTGTATGTTTAAAACTGTTATAGTTAGTATGAAAGAAGAATTCAGCAGGTGGTAATTTCACAACAATATAATTTGACAAAACTAATTCTTCACTTACCATGGTTTTGCAGCCACAAGAGCGGTGAATATCCAAATTTGAGAATAATACCTGAAATTTGTTCAATTTGCAAACAAATTCCAACGTTTTTAGTTTCTGGGTTAGCCTAGGGCTCAAGGGCTCTTAGCTCTCACAGAGTGTTGAGCAAAATTTCAGAGAAAAAATTGCAGAAAAATGGGCTACTACACACACACTATTTACTATTTACTTTGTACAGTTAATACAGACTAAAGCTGCAATAATTTCAGTGTGGCTTAGGCTTAGTATATATTACTGTCTATTTTTTTAAAGCACTTTTCTTCTCTTACACCTAAATACGGTAGCAACGGATCATTCTCTGTGTAAACTCATCAGAATTGCTAGATTCCCAAGCAGCTCATCGCTCAGCTTCCGCTGGTGTAAATTCACCGTCGGAATCACTTTTGGAAAAATCTAAATTTTCGTTATCATTATCAGAACTATAAACATCTGACTGAAAGAATTTCTGAAGTTTCTGTGGATGGAACGTTGGTATCCATAGCACTCCAAAACTTAGAAAATGCACTGTTCACCACTAGCTATAAATCGGATCAATCTGCCCATGTGTTTTGGAACATGGAATTTTATTCAAAGGACAATGTTAGAGTAACCTTCGCTGAATACTTTACTGGTAGTACTGAACATTAGAAACAAATACGAAGCCATGTGTAAAGCAATATGTACGGGACACATGATTGACGCTGAAAGTGTTGTTTGGGCAAATCAGAACTTCTCATTCAACACTCACAGCGTTGCTCGGGCCTTAAAGAGTTTAATGGCTACCAGGAAAAGTCCTGGGAATAAAGGTCAGCGTGATGTTGACTAAATCACCCACCCTGTGTCGATTTGTCTAAAACAGTGTTCTTCCAGCTTTTACATCCACGGCCCACCAAAACAGGGTGCCCACCTGACAGCTAACCAAAAATGAAACAGAAACATTTGTTAAATCTGGTGTCACAAAACAAAAGCTTACATCTTACACAACATCTGCTACTGCTGCTCGGAGATTAAAGTATCTGATATATATGGCTGGAGTGTTGTTTCTGATAGATTAAGCGCTGCATTAACATCCATTCGATTTCTCAGTTTGGTTTTTTGCTATCAACATGACTCAGAAAGTCTTATCACACAAATAGCCAGCCTGTGAAGTATTAATCCTACGGTGCAAGAAAAACACCACCTAGCCTACCTTACATGAGAAAGCATTTTTCTTTTATGGTCCATCTTGACTTTTCCATGGCTTACCTGTGGGCCGTGGGCCCCAGATTGAAAAACACTGGTCTAAAGTATATAGGTCTAGCCCGTATGACCAGTACACAAAGTAAAGGGTCCCTTCCCTTTTTTTTTTCAAATTTAGGTGATAAATGTTAAATTAAGAATCGACATCACAACACTGAGCACTTAAGGGAGTGTCCCAAGTTCTTAATTCAACATTAAGGGCATTGCTTGGTACCCATTGTAGGCTGTGTCGACCTTGGAGTCATTCTGGAGGGGGGGAATCTGTCTCAATGTGGAATCAATTCCAAGACCTACAGGATGGCAGGCAAGCATCTTGACACTACACTAACACCACGAGTCCCCATTGTAATTGTTAAAAAAGAAAAAAAAAAGATACAGTAAAAGTCCCTTTTCCAGGCCTTTAGGCATATAGGGCTAGACCTCAATTTTTATAAACCAATCGGCCCAAGATGGGGGATATGGTCAGCATCACACCGGCCGCCTTTACTTCCTGGGACTACACCCAGGACCCACTCAAGGCTGGGTCAACCTTGGAGTCAAGGTCATTTTTTTAAAAAAGTCCGGCTCCGATAGGGAGCGAACCCATTGTAATTGTACACAGTTGTATTCTTTTGCTTTAGATGGCAGGGTTAAAATGTTATAATTCTTCATTAATAAAACAGATTAGAGGATTAAATTGCCTGTTTGGCCTGAGGATCCAGATATGTCTTGGAGAAAACATGCTCATTGCAGTTGCAGTAAGTATTCCTCTTCTTATATTCCATGTCGATGGCATGACAGTTATATTTGTCTACAGATTTCTGCCTTATGTACTGTCAGTCATCTTCCTCTTCTATCATTTGCTTGAAGTAGTTCATCTATATCTGCAGTGTTCCCTCTAGTATGAACTTCACTGTCATTTGTAATTCACTCAGTGACCCGTAATGTTTGGGGTGCACCTGAGCCTGTCTCTTGGCCACAAGTCTTGAAAGAGAAAGTTTTACTCTACAGAAAACCAGATAATCTACCTCTCCCAAGAAGTAGAGGCTGTCTTTCAAGATAAGAAACTGGTACTCACGGCATGGATAGATTTAAGGGAAGCTTTTAATGAGGTTTGGATGGGGGCGCTGTTGAAGAAATCAAGAAATTATAAAATGAATGGAAGAATGTAAAATTGGATTGAAGCATATCTACATAACGGAAGAGCCCGGGTACAGGTGGGTGGTTTCAAGAGTAAAAAGTCCCACTATGACACAGCGTCCCTCAAAGAGGTGTGCTGTCGCCCACACTTTGTCTCTTTTATGTCAATGACCTGGTTGTTGAAATACTGCATGGAATAAAAATGGCAATGTTTGCCGACGACCTGGTACTGTGGTGCACCAATAAATATACAATAGTAGCTACAAGAATACCACAGCAAGCATGGGCGAATAAATGGTGTGTCAGCATTAATACAGACAAATGTAACGCCACACTCTTCACCCTCTCCCCAAAGCAAACAGCAGGTGTCATCAAATTAAACGGAATACCCCTAAGAGGTGATATAGAGCCCAAGTACCTAGGAGTCACATTTGATGACAGGTTGACATGGAGAAAACATATCAACAAGGCAGCAACCAAAGCCAGGAGGAAGATAGCCCTACTAAGAAAACTAAGTAGAACCACATGGGGAGCCAGTGGGAAAATACTAAATAAAGTATCAAACAGAGCATACAATCGCACTTGGAATATGGGTCAACTGCATGGTGTTCAGCATCCAGTACCAGTTGGACAAAGTGCAAAACCAAGCGCTTAGAGTCATCACAGGAGGGATGAAATCAACCCCCCCCCCCCCCACCCCCTTTTCCCCAATAAAAATGGAGAAAGCTGGGAAAACACAGTCACTAAGAGAATGCAGAGATACAAAGTTGCAAATAAAAGTTGAAAAGTTCCTCAGTATGCCAGATCACCCCATGAAAAATAGATTTCAGAACCTAGCTTGGGACGGTTAAAAACAAGCATCTTTATACACCAAGCAAAAAGAATATGCAGACAAACTGCTGACCTTCCTGAAATTGGTTGTCCACTTAAAATTATTCCAGAACAAACACCATGGAGAGAAAAATGCAAACTAGCAGTACAGATGTGAAAGGAATCTCCAACAAGAAAGAGCAAGATGGTATACAACACAGAATGGCCAACCTCAGCAATACAGGGGATAACTCACATTGTGGAGTGCCTGGAAAGAGAAAGCTGATCAAATGGCAGGAGAAGGTGCAACAAAAGAAAAGCCGGAGGTACCAGTCACATACAACCAAAAGAGCAGCTGATTGTACCAGTCACATACAGCCAAAAGAGCAGCTGAATGTACCAGTCACATACAACCAAAAGAGCAGCTGGATGTACCAGTCACATACCAAAAGAGCAGCCGGATGTACCAGTCACATACCACCAAAAGAGCTGCCGGATGTACCAGTCACAAACAACCAAAAGAGCAGCCGGATGTACCAGTGACATTCAACCAAAAGAGCAGCCGAATGTACTAGTCACATACCACACACAAAAAAGCATAATTAAATCGATCAGGAAACCACCAGCCCCACGACAAGATGACTATTTTATTATTCACAGATCTTTACAAGTCATTATCCTTCGCCTCAGAACAGGGCATAACCGATTATATAACCACATGTACACAAAATTCAACATAGATGTGTCAGCCATGTGCAAATGTGGAAAGGTGCCCCTAGACAGCAGAACATGTACTCCAGGACTACACTGAATTTGACACGTTAAGAAAAACCTTTTCGCGAGTCTGAACAACAATGGAACGTAAACTCTATGGACCACCTAATGAACTAACAACGACAGTCACATTTATACAAGAGACAAAATTGCTGATATAGACAACTTATTTCAGGCGAACGAAAGAAGAAGATGAAGTAACAACATATTATTTCTTTAGTATTGTAACAACACATTATTTCTTTAGTTTTGTAAAAACACATTATTTCTTTAGTCTTGTAATAACACATTATTTATTTGCTATTATAACAGCACATGATTTCTTCAGTATTGTACCAACACATTGCTTCTTTAGTATCGTATAAGCACATTACCTTTGAGACTGTTACGCCTTTGTCTTGTTTCCTCAGACGGCCACAGGAGCTTATCTGGGTCCATTACCAGCACCACCACAGCCGAAAATTACCACTGAAGTTAGTGGCATCTCATTAATTTTTTGTGTACAGTAGATTTACCTTTTCACGCTAACATCTTGTTTTACACTTTACACTAATCGTCCTCTTGACAAAGTAAAATAAAGTAAAGGAACATTCTCTGCCAGTGGCATATGAGGCTTGACTTATATTTTTATATTTTCTAGACCACTCGGCACTTGATGAGGATGTGGCCAACATAAGATCTGCCACTTTTACTTTCCTGGACTTTATCTGGTACTCATTTTTGGCTGGTTTGATCTGGAAGCCAAGAACATTTAAAAAACAAATCTGGCTTGATGTAGATTTAAACCTGAGATCTTGGGGCCAGCAGGCGAGCTTTATTTAACAAAACTGTCTCGTGTGTATTGAACATCTAAGTGTTCCTTTATTCCATGTGGGTTCCACAGCTCCATACTGATAGTAACTGTTGTCCTCTGGTTGGCTACTCATCTTGCCTTCCCAGCAAGTCTCGAGTGGTGCCCACAGACCCAGATACAAGAACGAATTAAGAATGCTGAAATCAGTTATTTGGGCCTATAGAAGCAGATGTCACTGTCTAGCTGTAAACCACAACACAATGTGCCAACTGTATTTTAAGGTTGAACACAGAGTGAAAATAAAAAAGAAAGTTTCTTTACATTCATGTCTAGTTTATACAGCTTAAGTGCTGAAAGTTTGAGAAGAAACATTTTATGCAATAGCAAAAGTAACACTGACGTCCCATGCACTTATTTATTTCTGCTTCAAAATGTTGCCATAAGTCTGTGCTCATAGGTTATGAATGCTGGGCTGTTATTTGGGAAACCCAGGTTTGAATCTTCGGTAAGTGATGTATTTTGTTTGTTGTGGGCAAAAATAGAATCCTAACCAGCACAGTCTGTGGTGACTACACTAGCCGGTAATAGGTTAGTCCCTCACGGACTGCCCATTTACACACTAGCTCACTTCTGATTAGTCGACCTTCAGCCTAGTTCACTTCTGATTGGTCAACCTTGACACAAAGTAACGGGGGTGATCCCCAATGCCTTTGATAGCGCGTCTTCTATATTTCAGCATTCCCGTGCCTTTAAAACTACAAAAACATTGAGAAACTGGGTCTAACACACAACCTTTTAAAAAGTAATGAAACCTATGTCACAGGCATTCTCTTTCTCTGAATAAAAAAGTAAATGCAAGACATTCCAGAAAGCAAACAACAGAGCGGCACACCCATAACGTCCAGCAGGTTAGACCAGTCCCCAAAAGTTATCTATGGAACGTGGCCTACTTTCTGTGGGGAGACTAACGTTTGTTTGACCCACTCGCCATATGGCCTTCAATCCTCAGGTCCCCACTCCACCATTGGCACCTTTCCGTCTCTCCAGAGGACAGTGTTATATTGTGCTATGGAAAGGTATGGGATCACAACCAGAGGTTAGCATGGCGAGTGTGACCGGCAAAACCTGCCTCCACAGTTAGAGCTTGAGATTTCAGGACCGTTGTTGCCATCACATGTAGTTAGTGTGCTTTTCTTAAGACTCTTGGCTTTCAACCTTTCTTCACTCCTTTATTTCTATCCCCTTCTTGATTTCCCCCATGCCACACAACACAGCCCATGGCAGTTAGTTCCCATGAGTCTACTGCCGTACCTGTATCATTCATGCCCCCTTTTCCTTACTGCGTTAAAAGGGGTCAATACAAGCAGTAAAGGCCCCATCTTCAGCGCACATTTTAAGCTTTAAAAACAGCACAACATCATCGGCTGCTGCTTACATGAAGTTTTGGTGTGTGGTGGCTTACTTTATCTGGAACTGGGTTTTGTTTGTTTGTGCTAGGTGGCAACAGCTCAAGAGAGCAGAGATCTCATCACCTTGCAGAAGAAGATTACCCTAGCTGTGCAGGTCTACAGGGAGAGGCTGGGCAGTGAGTTTTGCGTAAGTCTGTGTCTTTAAGTTGTTGTTTTTGTGTGTTTGGGTAGTCTGGGTTACTTGTTCTCTGTCAGTGGCAAATTTTGGGCAGTGTGTGCCAAACCTGACCTCCCACAATGTGCCAGTGGGCAATATATACCAAACTGACATCCTACAATGTGCCAACAGGCAACATATACCAGACTTGTGCCAGCCGGCAACCAAATCTGACATTCCATAATGTGCCAGTAAGGCAGTAACCAAATCTGACATCCCACAATGTGTCAGTGGGTAGTATATACCTGATATCCAACAGTGTGTCAATAGGCAACAAATACCAAACCTAACATCCCACAATGTGCCAACAGGCAATATATACCAAACTTGACATCCCAAAGTCTGTCAAAAGGCAAGATATACCAAACCTTATTGAATGTTGAATTAAGAATTGACATCATAGCCCTCATGACACCCCCATAAGTGCTCCATCTCCAACTTCAGCAGCAGGCGAAGAGTTCCTATTCAGATGGCACCAGAAACTGTCTGATTGAATTTCTGGTTCGCCTTTCCCTTGAGTGTTGAGTGTATACCAAACCTGACATCTCACACTGTACTTATAGGCACCATACCAAACCTAACATCCCACACTGTACTTATAGGCACCATACCAAACCTAACATCTCACACTGTACTAATAGGCACCATACCAAACCTAACATCTCACACTGTACTAATAGGCACCATACCAAACCTAACATCTCACACTGTACTTATAGGCACCATACCAAACCAAACATCTCACACTGTACTTATAGGCACCATACCAAACCTAACATCCCACACTGTACTTATAGGCACCATACCAAACCTGACATCTCACACTGTACTAATAGGCACCATACCAAACCTGACATCTCACACTGTACTTATAGGCACCATACCAAACCTAACATCCCACACTGTACTTACAGGCACCATACTAATAGGCACCATACCAAACCTGACATCCCACAATGTACTAATAGGCACCATACCAAACCTAACATCTCACACTGTACTTATAGGCACCATACCAAACCTGACATCTCGCACTGTACTAATAGGCACCATACCAAACCTAACATCTCACACTGTACTTATAGGCACCATA